AATTGGAGTTTGTAGTGTCGATATAGGTTAATGGCGTTAATATGATATTAACCCACATGCATATGCAAACTTTAAGGCTAAAGCATTTAGCGTGTTTATTGCATATAGTTATTCTCGATGGTAAGGAAACACACAATATAAATTCAATTCAGTCTCCAATGTCGCTATTTCATTTCTATATGTCGTTTTGTTGTTGACTGGTATTTGGTTTGTATAAGTCTGTAGTTCTGCAATAACACTTAATGATAACAGTATATGATTATGTTGCAATATAATTACGATTATTTCACTTAAAATTTTGTACTTAAAAGTTCTAACAAATATATTAGTTTATATACTTGATAATTGCTATTTCAAACCCTCTGCTCTGAATTAGATAAAATATATCATTCTCCTTTTAACACAGGACATTCTCAATTCTGTATTACGTTTAGGTAGGAAATTATGTATGTAGTGAAATTCGGTAAGAACTAAAATTTTGAAGTAGGTTTAAACCGGAGTGCATTGCCAGCACGAGGGTGCATGTAACTCCCTATTCTGTTCTGTGAGTCCTACTACAGTGGTTTATAACAATTATTTTTTAATACAATCATATAGCTATATACTGTGACCCATACCCCAGTGCCGTAGGAAGCTCTTTTTGATTGGGTGGGGGGAGGCTGAAAACGAGGGTCAGGGTTTAAATTCAGAGTCTCTGAAATGCAATTTCCTGGACTTTGGGGAAAATTTGACAGAATCCTGATGGTAAGAAAACAGCGTTTTAGTATGACCGGCGAAGGCGTATATTGGATAAGTTGCAGGAAAGTATGGGCTAATATCTTCATTAGTTGCTACGACCCTGTACCCTCTTTCCTGCACAGAGGCTTTTAAAGGATTAATTTAGAATTTCATATTGCGCTAGAAAATAAACTTGACAGTAAATTTAAGAGTAAATTTCAGTCCAATTTGGAAAAAGGCTGGATATTTCAAGATGGCAGGCGAGGTGGCAGGCTTTTAGTGTTCAAAAGCAGCTGGGAAACAACCAGAAACTATCCAGTCAGGATACACAATGATCCATAAACAATTTAGTATCCGGTGGATGTTACAGCTAATCAGTTATTTTAAATCAAAACAAGCATAAAACTTAGCCTTGTACGTTTGATGAATAAAACGCGTAAATTGCTGCGATTAACCGAAGAATATACAGTGGCTTCGATCTCTGACTTCGACTATAGCGTGGTTTAGCGTGGAAAGAACGCGAAGAGGCAAGACATTTGCATACACAGCCCAACATCGTAGCTATTTTAATCTTAGCGCGCTAGGAATTAGTAAGTGCATCTAGAAATTAGTTATTACGGCCAACGTAAATTCCCCAGTAAAATATTGACTAGGTTCCAGTTATTATATGGTGGAAACTAGGAAACATGTAGGTATAGCGTAATTCAAACAGTTATTATATGCAATTTTAGGAAGAATGGCTGAGTGCCAACATAATCCCCTTAAACCTTTAAGGAGACAGATGGAGGGCGTGGATTCTGATGATACAGAAATGAACACATCTCAAGATGATATCATAGTAAATAAGCCAGAAGATACTGATCCAGATACGGAAGAACAAGGCGAAAATGGCCAAACCAATGAAAGTGAGCAAACAGAAGATGATCGTTCGAAAATTGACCAAGAAAGTAATGGAAATGGTGATGATAACAATCAGTCTGTGCAAGAGTTAAGGATGGATAAAAATGCTGATAGTAACCAAGGTGAAAACATGCAAGCTGAAATGAAGCAAAAGAAATACGAACATTTTGAAAGTAGCAAACTGGAAGATGGTAGAAATGGTAAGACTGGGCAAGGAGAAAACGACCAGATGGGGAAAGAACAAATCCAAAGAAATCATGGTCGAGCAGAGTTAGAGCGTGAGAAAAGTGGCACTGTACATGTTGTTGAGGCGGCAGAAGAAGAAGAAGGCTATATAGCATGTGAAACACCGTATGAACCATATAACTTGCAATCAACACCGGACCAGTCAACACATGTACAGGTAAGGGGCACATAACAATCCATACACTGAAATTTTGTGAAGCGGTTCAATTCAAATATGTCGATACATAATACATGTCATGCAGTTCATCATGTGACTTCATAGTAAAGTAAAAAAAAACAATTACTCACAGAGAAAGAGACAAAGAATAAAGACGAGCATAAACATTTGACAATAAATCCTTAAAATATAAAGTGTACTTGTAGGGTTTGAATCCACAATCTTTCACTATCCTGATTTTAAAAGACCAAAATAGTTTCTTATTTGTAATTTTTAGGTTGATTTTTATCTTCTGATCCTTGGAAAAATTTATGTTAATCACGTTTACATCCATCTTGGTCCTAACGAATTTAGACAACTGGAAGCTGTTGATGGATATCCTAAACTGTGGAAATGTAGCGTAATGTTTCTAGGTGACCCGATCAAAGACAGTTTCAGATATCGATATGGCGTTTACAGACTTCAAAACGCGGTAAATGTACCTGTATTTGGCCGGGTTGAATATGGCAAAGATCTCTCATACTGTGTAGAAATTGGTGAAAAATGCGTGAGCTCAAAAGTCCAGTTTGATGTGTTTCGTTTTCCAGAAGACAAGCATTATGTGTCTGAGACTACTCACAAAGCTGTGTTCTATTACCTGAAGTGGTTGTTGCCGCTTGTTTGTCCAGAAAGTATTTCTGAAACTCTTGTTAACGTCAAAGGTTTGAGTTTCTATTTGTTAACCAAGAAAAATGTGAAAACCGTTATCAACTGGATTATGGAACAGGTTTTGGGTAATTCCGCGACAAACATACAGCGATTGTATTTATGTGTTGTCCTTGGTCATCTCCAAAGATTTTGTTCCCCATTACCATTTCCAAAAGATAACAAAATGGTACAAACCTGTGATCGTTTTCTGCAGTGTCTGATCGCCTGCGTTAATTCCAACTTTCTGTCAGCATCAGACCTCAACCTTTTAGAAAAATTAGCAGTTGTTTTGGTAGAGAACAGTAGCAGTCCCGGATGGCTTACCCTTGCAGCGTATTTTTATCCCTATTTTGGAATCGATTATATCCTTGGAAAAGAATATGCCAAAAGTTTGAACTACGGATATAATGACAAGGAATACCATGAAATGGCCACTGAACTCCTTTTAAATATAAAAATAAAAAATAGAAATGATCAGATCGCCCACAAAAAATTACTACATTTGGTACTGAAGAACGCTCCAACTTTGGACGATGCTTTGAAGCTATTCACAAGTCCTGAAGTCAGCCAGTTCTTTGCCAATGAAGATGAGGGAGATCTTTTTTTTTCAAAATTCTACCAGGACAAATCGCAAGATAGGACGCAGAAAAAAAGTGCAGGTACAAAGCTGGTTGAATTTCATAAAATGCCAAAGAATATCCGTGAAAAGATGCAAAACTATCTGTTCCCAATATTGCTCGAATACTCCAAGTCAAATGAAGGATTAAAAGACGAACACGTTAACATGTTTTGTAAGTCAATCGTTTTAGAAAAAGATCTGGGTATGGTTGAAGTCCTGAAGATACTCATGGAGCTTTCGAAGTCAAAGTCAGTTCCTCGTCAGGATTTACTACTTGATATTCTAGATAACAAAGATTTTGAGAAAGATTGGAATCAAGCGTCACATGTAGACAAGGTGAATATTTGTAAATCGTGGGTTATGACCAGATTAAGAAATAAAGGCTGCAAAGGGTGGCCAAGTTATGAAGGGTGGCCAAGTGGCGTGGATAAGATTGTGGCAGTTTATGAAGTAATCAATGCCATAATGCGTTGTTCACTCAATACATCAAATAAAGTTCTCGCTGAAGATGTCTCCATCTATGTTGTGGACGTATTTTTAGGAAATGAAGGTATTTCTGTGCTTAAAGCTTTTCCAAGCATAGAGAAATGTGTAACCGTTGTACAGGATTGCTACAAGTCCCACGTAAGGAAGATATTGAAACAAACACCAAAGGTGGTAAAGAAGTCAAGCAATATCCTTAAGGATTGTTCGAGAAGCAGGTACGTGCGCGTTTCTGTTTAACTCTATTTCGTTTTTATTACACTGGCCGAACGAGCCAGTGTAATAAATGGGGGACTTTCTGTCTTCGTCGTTTTCGGTATTCTTGGGTGTCACAAACTTGACATCCCTTAAAGAAATCGCAGGCTCAGGGTACAGTGCTTCAGTGACCTATGCAGTTCAGCACACTGTATATGCCATATTCTTGGGTTTCGATCACGTGATATTTTAACATAATTTGACTCAGGTGGGGACAAACATTGAACTGAGGTCACCTAAAACAATAAAGAAACGGCCTGATGGCTGTAGTGATAGAGTGGAAGTAGTTGAACGGAAGTGCACAAGGTGTGGTGTTATATACATGAAAGAGCGTACAGGGTTGAGTGTGAATGATAAAAGCGTGACATAAATGTATTCTTCAATTAACAAAATATATGAATAAAGTTTGAAAAAGGATATAACAATGGCTGTCAATGCATCTTATGTAAATTAGTTCTCCGACCATTATAAAAGCCAATATAAAACAATATAAAAGCCATCCTTTACCCTCGACATAGAGTCTTGACTCACACGTGACGTCGTACGAAACCCGAGAATACATTGTTTCAGATAATCTGTGATATTATTTAGATCGAAGAGTGAATAACGCGCACCATTGGATATTTTGAATGCAGCACTGGTGCGACAATTGAAAGAAAACGTCCACATGTTCGGGCATTTTTGTCATAAAAAGAGTTTCTTGAACCTCCGAGAAACTTGAAAGCACACGTCCCAGTTATCCGGCTATACTGTATTTCGCTACTGATTTTAGACTGACAGCAAGAGTTATTTCGAAATTTAATCTTTGTCTTTTCGTGATTTCAGTCTCGGTCAAGAACTCTTGTCTTGTCTCCTGGAAACCCTATACGTACCAGAAGTTACAAAGGAAAGTGTGATTACTGAAGACGACTTGGGGAAAATTTTGGATTGGTGTGATATTTGGATTACCTCACTTAAAACAACGGGTAAGAATATACATCCTAAACTAAACACCGCGCAGTCTTTTTACTCGTTTCATTTCCCAATTTGTTGACGTGCATGTAAATGATTCA